GGAGCCAGCACCGTCCCGGGCGTACGGCGGGCAATCCACCCCGGCACAGGATTGAGCTCACCTCTCTCCTCCCCCACTCCACCCCTCTCCTTCCCTGAAGGGATCTGTCAAGTCTCTGCACGATGGAATTTTACTTTGCTATTTTAATGCAATTCTGGCTCAGGCTTAAATGGAACTGGAAACCAAAAGGCCTTAATAAATAAATATTATGATAAGAAATGAAAGCAATGCATACACTCAAGATAATTTGAGGGGGGATAAAAACCTAAGCATTCCTTTCTAAGCCTAAATCATAAAGCTTTATGTGAAGCTGGACGACTTCTCACCAAACCTTTGCCCTGGAAAATCTCCCCCATGCTTGCCCAGATTGCCCTCCCAAAAAGTCGCCTATTGTTTTAAGAACTCTTTAAGCCAGATAAGACAATAGCCTTGAAATTCCTTCTAACTTTGTCGGTGACAGGGCTCAGGGTGACCACGCACGTGGCTGAAATATGCCTATTACTAATGCCTACAAGAGATCTTTAATTATATCCTGCACTCCTATATTTCATTCACACTCTATTTAATCTCGCTGTACGCATAAACACGCAGCTACTACAATAGCAAGAGCCAAATCTGGTTTTGATAAATCTTACATACTGTTAAGTGCTATGTAAAAAGAAAAGAAAAACCATCAGATTGTATAGATAGTGGTGAATTAAGGAGAAAAAAAACCCCTCCGAGACAGCCAACAGGACCATGCACATAGGGCTGTGTGTGTTTGTGTGTGCGCGCGCACTCCTGTGCGTGTACATAGAGAAAAATCCGAGCTAAATATAGAGGTGCTATAGAAAACCTAAGGTATAGATAGACCATACATAAAGCTACATGTGTACGTTTGTGAAGGAGAAACTCTGGCTCAGTATGGGAGTGGTGGAGCAGAAAAGCCTGCAGTTGATACCGATGGGACATACCTCTCTTTTCTAGAGACAGGGAAAGCGCTCCCGTGTTTTGCAGGCTTTGCTGTGTTCAGCTACCCGAAGTTTTCTGCAGCCCACACCGCTATAGCACAACATCGGAGATTCAGCCCGCGCCGATGTAAAACACACAAACACAGATGCACTACAGACACCCGCTCCGCCGTCCCTTCGCTCCCACCCAGCCCAAAACGAGCCCTCCTCGCCCGCACCACCGTGCCACTTAGCCCCATCTCACAGACACTGGAACCCCAAAATCAGAAAAGCCCCCTAAACCCTTCCAAACAGCATTTTTTTCCCTGAGATGGGTGCAGACACCTTTGCACCCCCTAATTTTCTGCCTCTGCAACCCCTGCCTTGAGATAAAGAGTCCGGACCAAAAAAAATAAAGTGTAAGAAATGCAACTCGTTAAAGACTTTACAAAAAACCCAACCCCAATCAAAGGCAGCAGGCAAGAATATCTGCAAGCGACATTTAAAATCCCCTCCACTATTTGTTGTTATTGCTGCTAATTTCTCCAGCCTGCATATAAAACCCCAGATCTGAAGAGGAGGTCCAGCTGCCTAATCCACACATCAAACAGCAAACCTTCAAGCTGGGAAGAGTTTTCTCTTACCTTGACTGGCTTTATTTGCCAGCGTGTTTCCAGAGTAGAGGAGAAAGAAAAGGATGGAAAATCCAGCAATCTGCAAAGCTCCCATTGCAATCCCAGTCTGCATGGAGGAGTGGGGGCAAGAAGGGGGGATTTCCAGTGCTTTAAAGGAAACAAGAGGCTGAGCATGCGAAGGGAAATCAAGAGGAGGAAGGGGCTCTCTTCTTGCCGTGTGTGAGACAGAGGGAGGGAAGGGAACTGAACTGATGGAAAAAGCTGCTCTGGGTTCAGTTTGGGGCTCTTGGTGTTGCTAAAGAGGAGAGAGTGAGGGAAGGAGACCCAGGGCAGTTGGAGGAAAGTGGACTCTATCGCCCTCTCTCTGGCGGCTGCTCTGATTTCTTCTCCTTCTCCTTTTTTTTTTTTTTTCCTTAAATAATCCCAGCCAATTCCAGTTTTGCAAGAGAGCAGCAGCAGCAGGAGCAGCAGCGCTGAAGGGGGGAAGCAGGCGCCTTGCCCTGGTGCTGAGGACCTGAGAAAGGGGAGTGGAAAGGAGAGCCCCATCCAAGCAACGCCCTTTTTCTCCCAGCCTTTCTTTCTTTCTATTTGGCTTTGGTTACTCCTTCCCGGCTCCCCCCCTCCCCCCCCCAAGGCTGGGCTTTGCCTGCAGGAGGCGTATGGCATGGGAAAAGGCAATGGGTGGAAAAGAAAAGGGGAAGGAAAAAAAATATATATATACAAGAAAAAAAAACAAAAAAGAGTTTGCAGATGGCACAACCTGGCTGGGCTCGGCGTTTTGGGGTGCAGGACCGGAGAGCAGCTCTGCTGTTCGCAAGGGAAAGGTGGGGAGGGAGGACTGGAAATACGGGGGAGGGGGGAAGAAAAAGACCTTTCTGAAATATTCAAGGGGTTTTTTGTTTGCTTGTGGGAGCCTCTGGCAGCCTGGCCCGCTGCAGACAGCATCCTGGGGGTGCAGGGGGACCCCGCGACCGTCCCTGCGCTGGGAGCTGCTGGCACCGTCACTCTTCCGGGGTGTTTCCGCTCCCTGAATCAGGAGAGGCATCGCCAGCCAGGACCTGCAGCAGGGGCCACGGCTGGGAGCCGGGAGCAGGGAAGGTGTGTGGTGATTCCACCTGCCCAGGGATGCGGGGTCCCACAGCCCCTGCAGTCAGCCTGCTCCCGGGGTCATCCTGCCCATGGGGTCCTTCCAGCCCACCGTGCTGCCCTGCAGCCGCTCCTATCCCATTTTGTCCTAATAACTCCTAAAGATACAATAAAGGGGGCTGGAGGAGATGGAAAACGTCCAGCTAAGCCAAGACACTCACCGCCATCCCACTGTGGAGAGGAGGGGAAGGGAGCGCAGCTGAACAGGAGGATGCTGAGGAGTCCTGGGGTCTAGTTCTGCTCTCCCTACAAAAACGCATCACCCTTGGGCTGCCTTCACGGCACAGGGACCTTCCCTGAGGGAGGAGGTTTCAAGAGCAGGTCTGTTTTCACAGGGCAGATGCAGCGCAGCCAGCCCAGGAGAGCAGCATGCTGGGTCTTTCCAAAGGCAGAGACCAAGGACAAGGCTCTCTCTCCTGGCCCTGCGGAGCCGTCCTGCACCCATGCAGCTCTGCTTGCTGCCAGCGGGTCCCCCATGCTAAGCGTCGGGGTCCTAAACCCACATGGGAACTGACCCCTTCCAGGGGAGCAGGACACCGGCACCAGCGGAAGGACATATGCACAGACATGCCAATTATACCCAGCACAAACCTCCAACGTTCAAATTCATGTTTGGGTGGTGGCTGCAGGTGAACCCGGAGCTGAGGGAGGCTGCATGGCTCTTGTCTGCCCGCAGCTCAGGGCAAGGCAGCTTCCAGCCCACCATAGCTAAAAGGGGCTTCTCAACAGCGACAACCGGCTCCGCCACAGCCCACCCAGATAAGAAATCTAGTGGAAGAGCACTTGCATCAACAAGACCAGCCCCAATAACTCACAGAACATCTTGCTACGCTATATTGAATCAAACCAGTGAAGCAAAACCATCCCTGGCACAGCCAGGCTCCAGAGCAGCCTGGGAAGGGGCAAAGGTACAGAAATTATTATTAAAGCTGTAAAAGAACTTTATATATAAAAATACGAATGCAGAGGTGTCATCGTCAGGATGTATTGGGAGAGGACCATGACCCACCAGTGGTAACGTGCTGTCCCGCTCGGCACTGCTGCTGGAGCAGGCTCCTGGCACTCCTGCCAGCCCCAGTCTGTGCCAGGAGCTCTTAGGGATGAAGGCTGCTACTCCTCACATGCGGTGCCGAGCAGGAAGGGGCTCTGGTCCTTGCAGCCCACGTCCTGGCACAAGCCGAGAACATCGCTAGTGGGATGCCACCACCCTCCTGCCAGCATCTCCTTGCCAGCCGTGGCACCGCTTTTTTTTCTGGGCTGGGATTTGCCGTGTAAACACCAGTCTCTGTTACGGCTGTCGTAAAAGCAGAGTCAAAATGGAAACTCTCTGCTCTCTTACGCTGGCAGATCGCTGTGCCCGGCTGCCGCACCTCGGAGCAGGACACGCATGCATCCCATTCTTGATCCTTTATCATCATAACCAGAGGAAAACTAAACAGTCCTCCTTTTTTTTTTCTCTCTAACCTGTCTTCTAAATCTGGAGACCAATCTCAAGGCACGAGGGACAAGACCTTCAGTGATGTTGATTTATAACCAAGCTTCTAAATTACAGGTTTACGCATTAGTATAAACACCCATAAACCAGTCTTAAATACACAGTATCGTATGTAATCAAAATGCCAAAACACTGGGCAGCCATGTGACGGCACAGGGGCACGAGCAAACTCCTCATTCGTGCCCAGAGGTAAGCGCTCCCAGTTAAACCAGTGCCTTGCATTGGGCATTGAAGGCAGGTCCTTGGCCGATGGCAGCATCGCTTGTGCCGGGGGAGTGCAGGGGCTGAGCCCCACATCTGGTTCCTCCGAGGGGGTTGCAAAGCAGCACGGCAAAGCAGCGGGGTTGGGGTGAGCTGCTGATGTTCAGAAACTCCCTAAAAAAAATTACATATAATCTTGCTTTCTTCCAAAAGCTTGCTGCCTGGCTGAGCGGAAAGAGGGCCGATGGAGGTCCCAGGGCTGCGCATGGCGTGGTGCCCCTCTGAGCGCAGGGCCGTCCCCCTGCCCGGCACACAGATGGGGAAAGTCAGGCAGACGGAGATTCCCGAGATCACACAGGGAGTCTGAAGGGAGGGCCATGAATCACACTTAAATCGCCTGCAAGACAGCCCGGCGCTTCGGCCCCGAGGGCTCCTTACCAGCTCCTGCTGCCACGCTGTGGGGCTGGCATGGATCCGTCCCTGCAAGCCCTCTCTGAAGCTCTTCAAAGGCATCAGGACAACCCTGCCAGCCCGAGCCGCGTGCACACACGTGTGTGTGTGTGTGTGTGTGTGTGTGTGTGTGCGTGCGTTTTGGGCAGGGGAGGAGGTGGCAGGACTCTCCTCCCTGCTGCCTCCACTCCCCGTCGTGCACTTCTGGGCAAAATCCATTTGCTTTGGCTTCATGTAGAGCCAGAAGATTCGGTCCATTGTGCTGCGGCGCTGAAGAGCCGGTGAGGAATTGTCAACCATGCTGAAACGGTTACATGGGGAGTAATGAAAATTTACTGCACCCTGCTCCAGTCCCTAGCCAAGAAATAAAAGCAAAAGATCACAACAGGCATTTTTTTAATTTGAAGCAAAATTAAAAAAAGAACGGATCCGCACTTAGAAAATAACAACCACATCCACAGATCAAAGCATCTGTTCTCCTCTCATTCGGGGTTTTAAGAGGCTTCTGCAGCTACAGGGATGTTTACACAGGGAGAGAGATACATACATTGTGCTGTCTGGATGCTGCCTCTCCCCCCTTCATCTGGCAAAACATTCCCTGGGAGGCGATATGAGGTCATTCCTAGACCCTGCGTTATTTTCCTCAAGCTGCAAGGCTTCGGGGCAAGAGGCAATTCATTTCCCATTAGCACACACACGTTTGCACTTGGAACCCTCCCACGGACATTTTGCTGGGGGAGCTCGGGACGGACGGGGGACCGGCCCTCGCCAGCTTATTACTGCGTTCCCGGAGGGACTTCCAGCAGCCAGGGCTGCCAGGAGGGTCAATGGCTCTGGCGAAGTCCCTGAGAAGGGACCTGGAGCCGGGAGGCGGGCTGGCATCTTCTGCAGACCAGCCTTAATGTTTCTGTGGCTTCCATCAGTTTTAATACGAGAGGGGCTGAACGGCTCTGGGGAGCACTAATGGGCTGTAAAAAGCTTTTTCCCCTCTGCCTCCCTGGCTGGAGCCCAATTCGGAGCGGTGGTGAGCCCCGCTCCAGTGCTCGCACAGGGACGGAGGTCGCGGGAACCAACTCTCCCTTCGCCTCTTGGCATCAGCACGTTGGTCCATGTGCTCCACGGGCAGTGCCTGCTTCGGCAAAGCTGACAAATTCTGGCTTGTGAGTCACCCTGCACTATCCGTGCAAACAAAATGTAACCTTGAAACTAGACCTCCCCATCTCTAACATGAATCTCATGCCAGATGCTATGAACGAGCTGCATCTTCAGCTCTGACCGTGCATATTTGCGTGATGCTGGAGCCAAAAGGGCTTTCTGAGACTGCAAAAGAAGCTGCTGCGAAGTAACGGGCAGGAGCAAAACTCTCATAAAGCACCTTAGAGATCGCAGAACCAGTCATTGAATCAGGCAGGGATACTGGAGAAAAAAAGAGGCCTCAATGCTGCAAACTGGGAGATTTCCCTTCCCCTCGGGTTCACGAGGACCAGAGGCACAACCCTGCCAGTCCAGCGCAGGACCAGACCTCTTCGCTGCACCCAGAGCTCCCGGCAGCTGGGGCGATCGATGCTGGTACCGTACCCTGATGCTGCTTGCAGGAAGGAGCTGGCTTGAGAAAACAGCAACCGAGACAAATGTCTAGATGCCCTAGCAAGGGGCGCGGTCTACAACTCAGAACAGAATAGACTATTTTTAAAATTGGAGAGGAAAATACTGTATTCCCAGTAATACGTCAATGGCCCAGGCTCGAGCGACTCAGCCAGTCCCCATCGCCAGCTCCCGGCTACATCCCTCACTTCCCCAAC